TTCTAGCTTGCTGCTCTGCTGTACAGGGCCTCCATTTCAGGCTCACCTCATGGTCCAGCAGAGCTGCTTCAAGACCAGCCGTCACGCCTTCCCTCCAGACAGTAGGAAGGAGAAAGAAGGGAGGGAAAGGCACAGCCTCTTTGTTCAAGGACACTTCTCAGAAGTTACAAACCACTTCTGCTTATATCTCATCAGGTATAACTTAGTTACTTGGCCATATCTGGCTGTAAAAAAGGCTGTTAAAAGGGTGGCCATGTGCTTGGCTAAAATCCAGAGGTTCTGTTGCTGAGGAAAATGATAACAGGTTTTTGGGGACAATTAGCAGTCTCTGCCACCTTACCTGATATGATTATTATAAAGATTAAATGAGATAAAATATACACGATGCTTAGAAAATGCCTGGCATGTAATATGTGCTCAATAAATATTAGCTATTGTCTTTGTAATTCATCTTGATAAACAGCCATCCATTCACTCTATTCATTTTTCAACACAGACTGAAAGCCTCTTGTGCTGAAAACTATACCTCCCTCTGTTTAACTCCATCTCTCAACAATTAGTTGATGATCACCATCCAAGATAGCTTATCTTTCTTGACCAGCTCTAAAAGATCCCCCCCCCCAAAAAAACCAAACTCAGTGCCATCGAGTCGGTCCCAACTCATAGCCAAACCTCCTTGGGTTTCCGAGGTGGTATAGGGACTTCTTTATCAGACTGAGTCAAAGCTTGGCTGCCTAGTAATTCATATGTCTCACCCTTGATTGTACACTTGAAACAACATGAAGGAAACCCATTTTCTTGAATTAGCAATCTCATGGGTGAGAAAGGACATAATAGCTGGCAATCTGAAAAAGCTACCTAAAAGCGTAAAGCAGATATATTGAAACAAAGTTATTACTGTAAGTAGTTAGTTACCTGTACAGTTCTTGACATGAAAAGTTGTTCATAATGTATTTTGAGTTCCAAAAGCAGGTACTGAACAGTGTACAGTATGATCCAGTATTTCTGTAATTACATAGAACTTGTTTTGTTGTTATTTGCCGTCGAGTCGGCCCCGACTCATAGCGACCCCTCCTTGGGTTTCCGAGGCAGTATCACTACGGAAGTATGATTGCCCAACCTTCCTTCCGAATACAATAGAACTATCCCCGTGTATATTGATGAATAGAGAACATTCTGGAAGGAGGTTTCCCAAAGTAGTAAGAGTGATTATCTCTGGGTGGTGGGATTTATGTTAAATTTTAGAACTATTTTTTTTCCTTGTGCTTTTCTTCATTGTTTGAAACTTTTTACCCTAAGCATACACCTACAAATATAGTAGAGGAATTTTCCAAAGAAAAGCTGTGCCTCTAGTTAGATTTAATCCTAGTATTCCATCTTTTGGGTGGTATTGGAAATGGTATTGGTTTCCTGATTTCCTTTTCAGAGTTCTCTTCATTGGTGTAAAGGAATCCGACTAATTTTTGTATGTTAATCTTGTACCCTGGTACTTTGCTGAATCTTTCAATCAGTTCCAGTAGTTTTCCTGCTGAGTCTTCAGGATTTTCTATGTATACAGTCTTATCATCCGCAAATAGAAATACTTTTACTTCTTTTTTTTGCCAATTTGGATGTCTTTTATTTCCCCTTTGTGCTTTATTGGTCTGGCTAGGACTTCCAATACAGTGTTGAATAATCCACTGCCATTGAGTCAATTCTGACTCACAGCAACTCTACAGGACAGTGTGGAATTGCCCTATAGGGCTTCCAAGGCTGTGAATCTTTATGGAAGCAGGCTGCCTCATCTTTTTTCCACAGAGTGGCTGGTGGGTTCAAACCATCAGCCTTTTGGTTAGCAGCCAAATGCTTTAGCCACTGTGCTACCAGAGCTCCTATAATATTGAATAAAAACGAAAACGCAACCATTGTCATGGAGTCGGATTCGACTCATAGCGACCCCTCCTTGGGTTTCTGAGGTGGTGGTTGTTGTTGTTGTTATTTGCCATCGAGTCGGCCCCTACTCATAGACACCCCTCCTTGGGTTTCCAAGGCAGTATCACTACTGAAGTAGGAATGCCCAACCTTCCTTCCGAGGAGTGGCTGGTGGGTTTGAACCGCCAGCCGTCTGGTTAGCAGTCAAGTGCCTTAGGCACTATGCTACCAGAGCTTCCTCTGAGGTGGTAGCACTACCAAAGTATATTGCCCAACCTTCACTTCTGGGGAGTGGCTGGTGGGTTAGCAGTCAAATGCCTTAGGCACTACACCATCAGAGCTCCCATAATATTGAATAGGAGTGGTAATAAAGGACATCCTTGTCTAGGACCCATTCATAAGGGGAATGCTTTCAATTTTTCTCCATTGAAAGTAATTTTGGCTGTTGGTTTTGTTTATATGTCCTTAATTATGTTAATGGTTAGCAGAAATGGTGGGGAAGGGAGGGTAAACCACTAACTAGAGGGGAGAAACATATTTGTAATATAGACATGAATAGTAAAATAATCATTTTTGTTGCTTTATTCCAGCATTATATAGTGAATATATCTTACTTTTACAATCAGATAAAGAAGAAGAGTTATTGACATCAAAAGAAAGATGTTAGCGTACATGCATTAGAAATAAAGATGTTAGAAAAAAATGTATAAATAAAGACATGTTGTTCTTTGCTGGGCGTCCTTTGTGGTCCCATAGTACCTTGCAAATCCTTTGTAAGTGCACTTGCCACATTGGCTTGATACTTATTCAATCCCTCATCTCTTTATAAATGTACAAAGAGGCACCAGCTATTTGGTCTATAACATAATACTCAATGTAGAGCAAATGTTCTATAATTTGTTTGGAGAATAGAGATAGGTTAAATTATTTTTAAAATCCTGCCTTTCATAAATCAAACATACTTATGTCCACTGATATTCAATGAAATTGCTTCTTATTCAAACTCAACAGAATTAAAGAAAAACATTAAACTTTTGGGGGAATAAATATGGAAATACTGCCAAAAGCTGCTTTTTGAAATTATTTCAATCTACTATTTAATTTCTGCCTGTCACGTGTATTCTTGGTTCCTCTTTTTCTACCTTCATTTTGATTAATTATTTTTTATAATTCTGACTTTCTATCTTACTACCCAGATCTTTTTTTTCAAGTGTTTACTTTAAGGTTAATAGTTTACATGTTTAACTTATCACACAGTCTATCTTCAAGTAACATTATACTAATTTCTGTAGAAAAAAACTACAATACTTGCATATCCCCTCTTTTGATCTATGTACTATTGTCATACATACTGCTTCTGCATTTGTTAGAAGCTTCCATAATACATTATTATTATTTTTGCTTTAAACTGTCAATTACCTTGTAGTTTAAAAATAAGAAAAAAATATTTTATATTTACCCACATATTTAAGCTTCTCAGTACTCTTCATTCCTTTGTGTAGATACAGATTTCTATATGGATCATTTCCTTTTATCAGAAGAACTTCTTTTTCCACTTCTTGTAGTATAGGTCTAGACACACACATGCATACACACATACACAGACAAACAGACAACTAGAAAAAAAAAAACTGATGTCGAGTTGGATCTGATTCATAGTGACCCCTCCTTGGGTTTCTGAGGCAGTATCACTACAGAAGTAGTTTACCCAGTCTTCCTTCCGAGGAGTGGCTGGTGGGTTTGAACCGCCAGTCTTCTGGTTAGCAATCAAATGCCTTAGGCACTACACCACCAGAGCTCTTAAATTAGCCATTAGAGAGATGCAAATCAAAACAACGAGCTACAGTCTTGCCCCAAAACTAATAGTAAAGTTCAACAGGACAGAAAATAACAGATGCTGGCAAGGTTGTGGAGAGATTGAGACTGTCATACACTGCTGGTGGGACTGTAAAATGATACAACCACTGTGGAAAACAGTATAGTGATTCCTTAAAAAGTTGGGATTAGAAATGCCATTTGATCCAGCAATCCCATTACTAGGTATATATCCCAAGAAATGAAAGCCAGAACAAGAACAGATATATGCATACCCATGTTCATTGCAGCACTATTTACAATAGTACAAAGATGGAAACAATCTAGGTGCCCATGAACAGACGGATGGATAACCAAGCTATTGTACATACACACAATGGAATACTATGCAACCCTAAAGAATAATGTAGAACCTGCAAAACACCACACAACATGGATGAACTTGAGGGATATTATGCTGAGTGAAATAAGTCAATCACATAAGGACAAATATTGTATTAGTTCTTTATTGTAAAAAGTCAAGGCAAGGTTTATAAATGAAAGGAAACTTTGTTGGTTACCAAGGGTTAGAGGGGAGGAGAGGGAACATTTCAAGGGGGGAAAAAAACCCTGAATAAATAAAGAGGAAACTGAAAAAAAAATCTTTATTTTTGATAGTTTTGCTAGATAACGAATTGTAGGATGACAGTATTTTTTTCTTTCAGTACTTTAAAGATTTGTTTTATTCTCTTCCAGTATGCATTATTTATGATAAGAAATCTGTTATCCTTATCTTTGTTCTTCTCTACTTAATGTGTCTTTTTCCCTAGCTTCCTTGGCCTCCCGGAATTCTCAACTTTTTCTGTTCAATTTAGGAAGAGCACTGGGTTCTACCTGAGTTCCTCTTCCCTACTCTGAAGCCTGGAAATTCTGTAGATAGTAAGCTAAGGCATTTTTAGGGCTCAATTAATTTATTTTTCTCTTCCATCAGGGGTCACTATCCTGTGTTGCCCATAGTCCAATGTCTGAAAACCACTTTTTTTTTTCTCCTGATTTTTTAAATTGTTTAAGATGGAAGTGTGGACTTAGTTCCTGTCTAGAAGCAGAAGTTTTGAAATGTTAAATTGAAAAAAAAAAAAAAAAAGAAAGAAACATTAAAACTAATTTCTGATTGTAAAACTCTTTCCTCAAATTGGTACATATATTTGCATCAGCTTAGATTTATGAACTCATTTTACAAGATCCGTTTATTACCATTGTGTTTGACATTATCCCTTTTCTTGCAGAGCATATGAAAACTGGATTTTAAAATGATTGCAAGTTGGTGATGGACCAGAGTTACAGAATGCAATCTCAGATAAAAGTCTTCAAAAGAATTTGCTTCAAATAACAGAGGAAAGAAAATTGATTTACCAACTTAAAATCCTAATGCACAATTAGGATTTTACATGATAGGAAGTTATAACTGGAGAAATTTATTTGGCTTTTGTTGCACTTGAATGAAAGGAATTGTCATTTTTTTCCAAAGAACTTGTATATATGAGATTATTTTAATGACCATTCATTTTATAAAAATCTTGTTATGATCACCAGAGTAGAGAAAAAGAGCAATAGGTGAAACCTGTGTGTTGGTCAAGATGACTTCTAAAGAAATGGCAGCTTCTGTTCTCATGTCTGTGTCTCAGAGAAAAGTGGTGTCTGCTCAGTCAGCTGCAGATGAAAGTAGTGAAAAGGGCTCAGACGTCAGGGTTCTGAAGGCACACACTACCAGTCAGAGTGGACAGACTTCTCACACCATCTCATGCCTGAACAAACTTAAAAAGGAATCTTCTGGAAGCTCCTTGCCCCAGATTCTCTCAATAACAAGGGAGGAAATAATGAGCGATGAGAACAGTAATGAAAAGTGTTGGGAGAAAAGCATGCCAGATTCTGTGAAAAACCTTAACATTAACTGCAACAACATGTTGAAAAACCATCAGCATGGCCTTTCTCAGAGCCAGTTTTACAAAACGTGCAACTCTGTTGCAGAGGAAGGCCTGTGCTTAGAAACTGGAATTCCTTCTCCCCTGGAAAGAAAGGTGTTCCCTGGAATTCAGCTGGAAATAGGTGGACCTCCCATGGGCATCAGTCCTTTAGGAAATCAATCGGGAATCATGGAGACCAGCAGAGCACACTCGGACAGCAACATGGCTGTATTTCATTTTCATTATGAAGTTGACAGAAGAATGTCAGACACTTTATGTACCCTATCGGATAACTTAATTTTGGATGATTGTGGAAATTGTGTACCACTGCCTAGTGTTGGAGAGGAGCAGAAGAAAAATTACATGGCATATACTTGTAGGTTGGTGGAATTGGCAAAAAATTGTGATAATAAGAATGGGCATTTGCAGTGTGATCACTGTGACATCTTAAATGATAAATACTTGTGCTTTGAAGGTTCTTGCCAGAAGGTTAACATGGTATGTTCAAATGATAGCTTTTGCAGGGAAGATTCTACTGACAGTCCACCTGCTAAAACTTTTCTGAGCCATTTTGAGGATTTCCCTGATAATTGTGAAGATGGAGAAGAAGATTTCTTTAAAAGCAAGAAGGAGCGGTCTACTCTGTTAGTCAGAAGATTTTGTAAAAATGACAAGGAAGTTAAGAAATCTGTGTATACTGGGACAAGGGCAATTGTGAGAACACTACCTTCTGGCCACATTGGGCTGGGTGCTTGGAGTTACATTGTTCAGAAGAGAAATGGTCTCTTATTGCCTTGTGGGAGAATAATGGAACATCTGTCAACAGCAGCAATTAGGCAAGATGGGAGTTGTTCCCTATCAGAAGTCCAATGGCATCTGGTAAGAGTTTACGGTTTCTTTTGATCATTTCTTTAATCTTTGTCTTTGTAAAATTCAAACTGCCATTATCATAACTCATGAAAAATTTTAAGCTCTGTCAAATTATGGTCCTTAGGGGAGACATTTATAGTTATAGGAAACTGGTAGACCTAACTGTTGTCAAAATTGAGTTAACTCCTCAACAGTATAAGTGACAAAATACACATGTGCCATTGGGAGTAGAGAGATCAGGGAGAGTCTCTGGTTCCTGAATGCAGGATTACAAAACAAAGATTCCTGGTAGTGGAAAAATGAACCAAACACTGCTTGTTTAGTTGTGTCCTTCAGACATACATACTTACGTCCTCTTCTACCATGTAGTTCATTGTTGTTTTCAGATTAGAAGATGTAAAGGCACTCAAATCTGGCTTCCTATATTTTCCAACCAATTGTCCTAATTTCTTCTTGTAGGCATTCTTTACCTTTTATATGCTGTAGACCTTTAATGGAGGGTGGAGCTTATGGACCCCTTCTTACAGTAAGGCTTTTAAATGCATCAGATAAAATACAAAATATCATAAAGTAAATAAATTATGTAGAAATACATTTATCTTTTTGAAAATCTGAAATAACAGTATAGGTGATTCTCTATTAATGTGCTAAAAGAATGGCATCAAGTGATGTGATAACTATCATAATTTTAAAGTAGTGATGAATATCAGTGAGGTAACTAACAATCCTGGTTAACCTGGGCCTTCTCAGATTTAACACTGGAAGTCCTACATCCCAGAAAGCCCCTCAGTCCTAGGGGAACTGCAGTGGTTGGTCACACTACATGTAAACAATGTTTTAGGATATCTATCACATTCATAAGAGCTTTGGTAGCATAGTGCCTAAGGCACTTGACTGCTAACCAGAAGGCTGGTGGTTCAAACCCACCAGCCATTCCTCGGAAGGAAGGTTGGGCAATCTACTTCCATAGTGATACCGCCTTGGAAACCCAAGGAAGGGTTGCTGTGAGTCGGGTCTGACTCGATGGCACATAACAACAACAAAAACAACATCATATTTATAACATGATGTGGAACTATCTGTGATTTCTGTTGGTCATGAGTACTGCTAATGACTACTTAGATTTGTTGCCTCAATTCCTAATGCAAGGAAATGCTAAATTTCCATTTGAGATAAGTGAAAATAGAAGTTTTTCCTCTTTTCCAGTCAAATTTTCAAGTCCTCTCAACTTTATTCACTGAACTCCCTCTTTAAATTAATAATCCCACTCAAGAAATACAGATGGCCAGACCTTTTTGAACTGGATTCTTATATATGAAGACAGCTCTATGTGTCTTCCTCGTTTTTCCTTCTTGACTAAACAGCCCTGCTTTTTCCCACTGTTCTTTTGTGAAACTGTTTCTAGAACTCTCAAAGTCTATTTTGCCATAGTCCCCTTGAAACCTGGCCTCAGAAACAAACACACAGTCACACGTCTAGGAAAAAAAAATCCATTTTATTGAAATATAATTAGAACATTTTTATTTTCATCAATATCATCAATCATGTACTCAACTCACTGCTGTCAAGTTGGATCCAACTCATAGCAATCCCTCCTTGGGTTTCTGAGGTGATATCGCTATGGAAGTAGATTGCCCAGTCTTTCTTCCAAGGAGTGGCTGGGCTTTGAACCTCCAACTTTCTGGTTAACAACCAAATGCCTTAGGCACTACGCCACCAGAGCTCCTTCTTGGTCAAACCAAAAAAACCAAACTCACTGCCGTGGAATTGGATCTGACTCATAGCAAGCCCTCCTTGGGTTTCCGAGGCAGTATCATTGTGGAAGTAGATTGCCCAACCTTCCTTCTGAGGAGTGGTTGGTGGATTTGAACTGCCAGCCTTCTGGTTAGCAGTCATATGTTAGGTACTGTGTACCTAACATTTATTGACCCTTCAACATGTACCAGTCTTTGGGCTGAATGCTTTACATATTTGATTTCCTGAAGTCACCTATACTAACTTCATTGTATTGCTAAGGAAACTGAGTCTCAGGGAAGTCATGTGTCTTCTCCAAACTCACTTACCCAGTAAGTGCTGTGACTAGGATTGTCATACAGGTAACTTCTATTCTTAGGTCACTTCTCAAGGTTCAGAAAAGAATAAAACTTATAGTAAGATTTTAAAGGAATAGAAGAATTGTGTTCATTTCAGAGTGTGAACTGAGTAGCTACATTCATCAATGTGCATGGCGTCTCATTCTAGCTTCTGTTAAATATGCTGGTTCTCAACCCTTGGTTATCCTTTAGAATCACTGGGGGAGTTCTTAAAACATACCAGCATCCAGCCCCCCTGCCAAACCCATTGAATTAGAATCACTGGGGAAGAGCACAGACTGGGTATTTTTTCAGAGTTCTTCTGGTGATGCTCCAGAGCATCTATTCTATGGCTAGGAGCTTTAACTGAGCTCATTGCTTTTTAGGTCGGGACATTTTGGGAATATTTGCTCTGCCCTAAAGACTGTGACCCTACTTGGACTCTCAGGAATGTCAGGGCTGACCTTGTACTCTGCCTGAAAAGTAGAAGCCTGCAGATCCTTCTTTCTATGCATTTGACTGCTCACACCCAGCAAATGGGAGCTGCCTTGTTTCTGTATCTCAACATGAAACCTGAGGCACAGGTCAGGTGATTTCAGCTACCCACACACTCCTCAGCTCTGCTGTCTGAATTTTATCTGCACAGGGAGAAAGGAGCCTATCACTGGGATGTATGTCCCCTCTTCTGGGCTGTGCCCTGTGACAACTCGTCCAATATACCCTTCAAGGATGCTGCTACCGAAAGTAACATGTCCTTTCATTTAAAAAGGCAGTGATTAAAGCTGAACATTAAGAACAGTACAGAATTTTAACTATAGTGAAGTGAATGGAGCGAATTGCTTCAGAATCATTACAGGAATTCCTCCACATGAAGGTTATGAATCTGGTGTAAATTTCAGAATAATTTTTGGCATGCCTGCATTCATTCCTCAGTTTACCTTTTTGCAGTCCTGCCCCTTTTTCTAAGGATGTTTACTAGTCCCTAGCTCAAACCTGCCCTTTTTAGTCAGGGACCCAAAACAAGCAAACAAAAAACCCCACTGCTGAATCGATTCCAACTCATAGCGACCCTTTAGAGCAGAGTAGAACTGCTCCACAGGGTTTTCAAGACTGTAAATCTTTATGCAGATTGTCTCATCTTTCTCCCAGGGAGTGGCTGGTGGGTTCAATCCACCAACCTTTTGGTTAGCAGCCAAATGCTTTAACCACTACACCACCAAAGAGAGCCCCTATGAATTGTTTCTTTCACCTAAAAAATGCAGACCCTGATATTATGCTGTTGTTCCTGGTTTCTGACTACTATTTTACATCTTTCCATCCTGGTTCCTCCAATTAAATTGTAAATTTATTAAGGGCAAGAAATGGATCTTACCCCTTTTCTATTCTTCATGAATCTCCCTTTTATCCCCCCCAAGAGTTGCCATGAACCTGATTCCAATTAATGGAGACCCCGTGTGTGTCAGAGTAGAACTGTTCTCGTTGAGTTTTTAATGCCTGGGTTTTCGGAAGTAGATCACCAGGCCTTTCTTCTGAGGTGCCACTTGGTGGACTGGAACCACCGACCTTCGGTTAGCAGCCAAGCGTGTTAACCAATTGCACCTCCAGGGACACCCTATTCTCCACAAGGTAAGGTTAACGTCAGGTGTATAAAAAGCAGGACGTGTCATGATTAGAAATGTAGTCTTTGGAGTCAGTCTGTTTGAACTTACATTATGACTCTTGTCTTCACTGCTTTCCAGCAGTGTGACCTTAGGCAAGGTGTTTAATCTCTTTGTCCCTAACTCACTTTATATATAAACTGCGAGTGATGAGGTTATTGTGGGGATTACCTGAGCTGCTACCTGCAGTCTTCACCACAGTGCCCAGCCTGGTGTGATGCTGCTGTTCTCACTCTGGCCATTTATTACCTGCTTTGTGAACAGGTGCACATTCGGCCTCACCTGTCCTTTGCTAGCTTCTTGCACAGTGACGTTTACTGCCTTATGAATTTGAATGTGTGGTCCTCAGTCTAGGACATGGTAGCTTGAACACTCCTTCCCACACATTTAAAGAATGTTATTTGTCCAATTAATTCCTTGGTCTCCCATTTTTTATTTTTTTCCTGGATGTGTTGGTCCAAATTAATTTATCCAGCTAATTTATATTTGCACAGCTGTGTAGAGAAGAATAGATTTGAAAGGAAGACATCAGTGAGGATTGATGCTTGCTGACTGACTAACTTTATTGGTGTCCTCCTCCCCTGCTTGTGAATAATTAAAAGCCCTAGCCCATATCCTGTTACTGTTATCCTCCCTTTCTTCTGCTCCAGATTTATTGGCTCCACAGGACGGGACATTTTGGCAAGTGGCTAATGTCTCCAGGTTAAAGGTTAGTTAAGAGTGTTTTCCTGTTTAAACAATTTTCTCCCTGCCTGAATTTTGGGGGAGTTTAGATACACAGAGTTAGCTTGCATGTGAGTACAAGTAGTTCCTGCTGGATTGGTTCATGTAACCTGAGTTCCACATGCACTAATGATGGAACACAAAGAAAGCAAGGGTGACCAGGGCAGAAATTCCCCCGGCATTTGTATTATCACATCATTGATTTCATTGCCTTAATCCACAAGAGGGTTTACTGTACAAGAATGTGTACATTAAAATAGAAGAAATTTTATTTTCTAAAAAATTAGACTGAAAAAATAAACAAAAAATGCAAGGCCAAAAATCAGCTTCTATGTTAATAGTTTGCTCTTCTAGATTCTTCTTCTAAAATGTGTCTTTCTTCTTCATACTTTATTCTACTCTCTAGCTCAGCAAATGGAACTCAATGATGATTTTTTGAGTGTCTGGCAAAAATGCGTATGTGGGTTTCTATGTTCCAGAGTCTACATTTTGTCTCTTTCAAATTGAACTGAAGCTGAATTTTGGTAGCAAGATAGTGTGTAAAAGGACCAAATGA